CAAGGCGGCTGCATGTCCCTGCTCCGGGACATGGGGACACTGGCAGCACCTGCCTGTGAAGTGCTCGAGGCCGGGCTGGCATGCGGCACTGCTGGGCTGGCTTCGGGGCTGCAGCTGCTCAGCCAAAGCCAGCCCGAGCACTGAGGGGTTGGCAGAAGGAGGGAGAGAGGAAGGGATGGTTTGGGAGAGCCAGGGTATCCCCCACACCCCACCTGCCCCAGAGTCAGGCCCTGCCGTGAGCTCACCTCACCCCGCCCAGCTTTGCCGCTGCCACTGAGAAAGGAGAGGCCCATTCCCACAGGGTCTGGCACAGCCATGGTCACCACCACCAGTGCTGCCTGCACTTCGGGCCATCACACTGTCTCCTGGGGCCACCATGTTCCCCTGCCCTGAGCAGGCAGGAGCTGGTGCCCACACGAGTCCGGCCATGGGTTCATCTTCCCAGGTTCTGGGGGCACATCAGGGAAGGTTCCAGAATCAGGGAGCCCAGGAGGAAGAGCTCTCCCTACGGGCTGGGCAGGGCTGGGCAGGCCAGGGCTGCTGCTGTAACCCCTGTCTCCTCTCAGTCCCCTCCGTACAGCTCCGGCAGCTACGACTCCATCAAGACAGAGGTGAGCGGCTGGCCCGAGGACCTGACTGTTGGCAGGGCCCCCACGGCCGATGAAGATGATGATGACCACGATGACCACGAAGACAATGATAAGATAAATGACTCAGAGGGGATGGACCCAGAGAGGCTAAAGGCCTTCAATGTAAGGAGGGCTCTGTGGGGAGGGTGAGCTTGTCTGCCTCCCGTATCAGTGTTCCCACCATCTGTCATCTCCTTTGCAGATGTTCGTGCGCCTTTTTGTGGATGAGAACCTGGACCGGATGGTTCCCATCTCCAAGCAGCCCAAGGAGAAGATCCAGGCCATCATTGAGTCCTGCAGCCGGCAGTTCCCCGAGTTCCAGGAGCGGGCACGCAAGCGCATCCGCACCTACCTCAAGTCCTGCCGCCGCATGAAGAAGAACGGGATGGAGATGGTGAGTGGCTGCCCCACCACCCTGGCCC